CGCATGTCTTTCTGCTTGGATATGCTCGTTGGATTTCTTTCTCTTACGCGCAGTTTGTTCTTCATTCCATCGTTTACTTTCCTGGTCCCCCAAGATTGACACCTAGGCCATCTGATTTTTACATAGACGTCGCACTCGTGCATTTGTATTGAAGTACTACCGTATAGACTCCCGGATTGGCAAAAGACGATCGATACCGTGAAATTGAGCTTGGGGTAAACACTTTTATGTAGGTACAAGCAGGGTTAATGGTGAAGACAAATAATAAAGAAGCATACAAATAGCTGACTGACACCATTGATCCTACTTGTGCCTGCATAGAAAGTGTCTACCCCAAGTTCAATTTCACGAGATTAGACGGTATGCAGAATGTGAAGGCTATTGTCTGGCAAAATTCGCGAGCCGCTACGGTCGTTTCAATGTCTGCTTTTCCTGATTCAGTTTCCCAGTTTGCAAGACAGCAAGCCAGACAGATCTGAGATGGATCCAACGTTTTTTTTTTTCCTTCATTTTTTTTTTTTTTGTGATCACCACTTTTGAGTTTTGGCAAGGAGAAGAACCTAGTCTAACTTCCGCACTGCCAACAGCGCGACATTGCTCACGCTCGTTGATACGTTGTGAGTAATAACACCGCGTGGCCGCTCTAGCCCATACTAAGATGGTATGGATTAGGGTGGCCTTTTCTTGTGTTCAAGCTAAAGTAGAGGGTAGGTGAGCGGCGGCTTGCCATTCGCGACGAAGTCGTCTCGCTTGAATGAGTGTGATCCGTGCCGTAATCCCCCGCTAAATCGCCCTCCGCCGTCGTTCTCCTCCCCCTTCTTCTGTTTGCATTATCACGATACCATGAAACGACTGACATCACAATATGAGTATGATATGTATCATTTTCTGAATCACTAGCTATTCTTCCTCAAGCATTCGACGAAAATAGTGCAGCAGCAGCTAAGTAGCCAGCAGACAAAAAGGAATAAACCGGAGAGGTACCGCGACCGGTACCCGATCCGGTCGCTGCGATTGGTCAATGGCATCTTGTCGATGTTTACACCGACCGCAGTCCGCAATCTCCATTCCTCGTTCGCTCGTTCCTTGGTCGATGCCGGATGCGGGGTCTCCGACCTTGGATGATGGCGGCCAGCTGACTATCTACTAGCATCCAAGTACCTTACCCAATCGATAGTCATTCACATTCCGATTTCTTCACTAGCGATTCGAGCGGCGGACAGGACGGAAGCGATGTCATCCGTGAACGGCAAGCAGCCAGCCCAGTCTTGACAAATTGACGACCATTTTCAAAGAAACCAGAAGGGAGGAAACCCGGCAGGCTTGGACCCGTTATAGAGAACGACCCGCATGACGAACGTGGAGATCATTGAAAAAAAAAAAAAAAAAAAAAAAAAGAAAAAAAGAAAAAAAGAAAAAGAAAAAGTCCAATATATCATCGTTGCACAAAAATGCATTTCACAAGGGATCCCCTCACCCCCTGCCACATTGCCGGCTGGCTGTCCTAACCCGCCCGCTCTTCTTGTCTTGTTTATCCATCCTATCCCCCCCTTGCCGAGCATGCCCTGCCCTGCCCTGCCTTGCCTATCCTGCATGTCTTTCCCCAGCAGCAACCTAGCGACCTACCATCCAGCGAGTGAAGGCAAGAGATCCAAGACCCAAGACTTTTTTTTTTCTCGTATTCCCTCAATCTAATCTATGGGTAGTTGGCTCAACTAGGGAATGGGCTCGATCGACGCACGAGCAATATCTGAGACCAATCAAACATTCGGGGGTTTTTTCGCCAAGGGACTACGAAAGGGTGAGGCTACAAGGTAAAGGTAAACACTCGCGGGTCGAAATTATTGATGCGCTGCTGGGTTTCTGGCAGGGTTGATGACGGAAGGGGAAAGAGGAGGAGGAGGGGGGGGGAGATGACGGGGAGAAAGGTGGACTGCTACCAGAAGTTGATGGAAGACCCAAATGTCTGAAGACGACATTGACCTGACTGGGATTGTTAACGGTAGGCAAAGGTGAGTAAAATGAAGCGACCGGAATACACCGTAATGCAAGGCATCAACTTTTACGGATTGAGGGATTGACGATGCGCTCGTTACTAACGGGAAAGGGATGAACACGGCATGGCAGGACTTTGACTTAGCGTGCTTTACCTTGTTCGATGCTTATCCCACCTTGACTCGTGACCTCACTGTCGAGAGTATCGCATATCGCAACCAGTAAACGATCTGTGGCTGCTTGCTACTGGCGCTGAGGCTTGATCAATGCGATATTCCAGCTGAAGATCGCCCAATAGAGCGGGACTCTCATCCTGCAAGGTCTACGCCCAAATGCACGACATCCCTCCGCACACTGAAGCGAGCGAAGCGGTGAAGAGAAAAAGAACACGATCAACTTGAAGCAAAACATACGTAAAGATCAATTTTTTTGGCATGGTCGATCTTCGGGACGGGAGTGGCTTGCTCGCTATACGCGCATCAGATAGGCACTCGTTGCCGTTCCATAATGTGTGAATTGCCAAGTACAGTAAGTAGTGTAGGTAGCCATTCACCCTACCCAGCGAAGTCCTCGATCCTCACAAACAAATGTGGCGCGAATCAATAAAACGGCGCACGATACTTACTTGGTGCTACATCGTATTGCAACTCAAACTGTTAGATGCCGGCAGGCGCCAGCTTCCGCCTCCCAAAAAAGCATGGATCTCTCACTGTTGATCGGATGTGTCGTGATTTGGTTTGTAGCGTTCTTTCCTTTCTTTTCTCGTTCTCTTTCTTCCGAAGGATGAGAGGGGAGGAGGAAAGGGTAGGTGTGAGGAAAGACAAGTTGGGAAAGGGGTGGATGGATGAAAATCTAGAAGGAGCAACTTGGGCTGTAGATTGTGGACTTGGACCCTCAGGAGCGCTTGAACTGGAGCAAATCCTCCTGGAACTTTCGAGGCGGTTGCGCCATGGACGCCACATTGCGAATACATGTGTATGTAGGCGAGATCAATATGTGATTATCCAGTATCGGTGGGAAACGAGTTTTCATTGAGCCTTGACTGTCCCATGTCGCCGTGGAGATCGAATCTTGTGTTGGGCATCAGAGCAGATTGTGGGGCACTTGCTGGATGGTTTACTGGCTCACTCATGGCCACACAAGGCAGGCGATTTTAATGATTTAGCAGTCGTAAGCTCTTGCCATTGCTCACTCCTTCCCTTCAGATAGGTTGGTATGACTGAATCCGTCCTCGGCTCCTTCCTTTTGCTCTTGATGTTCATTGGGAATGTTTCGACTACCAACAAGCCAGGGTCCTCACAACCCAATCGACATCAGCACAGATTTGACAGTGTATCATAGCTAGTACTAGTGATGGCCTACCATTTGTGGTTCTATCTTGATCAAACACCCACCACAAGTGTAATCCCTCAAAGACGTCTTCCCGACTTCGGATACATTCCATACCTCGCACGCCCGGTTTATCTTGGAAATATTCGTTTCGCTACCTTTGAGTGAAGTATTGGACGGAAGGCACAAAGACACGGGCCGCACGGGTCCAACGTCGGGGATGACCTAGACAGCGGCTCCTCCTTCTGATTCCAGTTTTTGTTAAACGTGATCTTCAAGTTTGCTTCGCTCGCTCGTGATGTCCAAACGAACCCCAAAAATTCCCTTGTTGAAATCCCTGCCCAACTGCCCAACCCATCATCCATGATGGCAAAACAGGAGTAACCACCATCTAGCACCTTCCTGTCGACCGGACTTTTTACCTACCCGAAGATGAACCCTAGTTGGGACTTCCTAGTCAAGCGGTACCGTCACAGTTCACTCCAGACTCGCTTGACGTTCACCTACACTATCAGCTTTGGTTGCACGAAAGATGTCTATCAAAGCAGTAGCTTCCTGTGGGCTGCCTCATATTCACTTTCTTTCTCGTCATCTTCCCGTCTTCAGTCCCCTATCTGCCGGAAGCTCTCGTTGCCGACTTACTCTTTCGGTTCATTGTCAATCAGTGACCCTGTCTACGTGACTTGCAATCCGAGGTGCAGTCGTGGGTTTCCTTCCATTCTTTTATTTTTTTTTTCCTCTGATTATTCATCGTTATTGCCCGGAGTGTGAGTGTACCTGCCTGTCCACCTGTTTCAATGTCTCTCTGACACCCGTAACAGAATCCCTTTCGGTCTTGCCCCGGGTTCTCAACGTAGGACATGAAGGTTGGTTGTGTTGATGGCATGTCTGTGGTACGAGCCTTCTTCTAGAAGGGAATGATCGGTGTCAGTGAGGGAGCTGATGCTGTGCTAAGTGTCACCATGGAAGTTGGTGTCGACTCACTCATAGGCCACCAGCATCCAAGCCGCAGTTGGGGCCAATGATGTGATCACGCAAGCAGCCACGGCCTGGAGTGAAGATGGAATGTGGACGATGTTGTAGACAGGCTTTTTCTCTTGACCACATAATGCTTGAAGAGATACCGTGGTCAGTCGAAAAGGCCATGTTCTTGAGCATTGCTTGATGGAAGATAAGCATCAGCCCATTTGAGCGATAGGCGTTGATGGATGTGACCGGTGATTGGGCTATCAGTCTGCTTTTGACGTCCAAGATGTTTACGCCAGATAATTACCTGCAGAAGAGAGATATTTTTAACGTGCTCCGTACCCTTCGACGACAAGGGGATGCCCCAACGTTCCACACCTACTCAGCCCATAGAACTCACTTGTAGTGTTTCACTGACTCACGAACACTTCCCCATTTAACCCGCTTCGACCTGAGATGATATAATTATGCAGCTTAATTGCTGTTATCCAAACTTCGGCAGCTTTCTTTGCTCGATCGGCCATGTGTTTCGGACATGACTGGTGCTTGTGCTGAGATGGACTATTCCTCTTCTTGTTGTCAGTGGTATCGTTCAGCAGTCTCTACCGATCCGATTCGCGGCCACTCTTTCTTCACACCGTCATTGGTAAGTAATATCCTTACAGGTACTTATCTTACGGTTTGTTATTCAGTTCCAATTTCAAGAAACGATGTCTTTGGCTTATCGCTTGGCCAACGAAATTAACACAAAGTGTATTATAGGCAAAATGGGTCGCCACATTTGCTCCGATACCTGTGAGCAACACAGAATTTGCAGAGGAGAGAGATGTGCGTGTCGTCGGCGGGACCTCCGGCCAACGTCCTGCTACGCATGCAGGCTAGCAAAGACCGCGTGCCGACCAGGAGCGGGCGGAAGTGGAATGTGTGAACGGTGTTTACACAAGGGCAGTATACACTACTGCAACAGACGGGGTAGAGAGGACAACGCAGGCGAAGGTTTACCAGCCAGCCCTCCCGGCCGTCAATATCTAGTTGACTTCGGCCCCAATGCCGGTGAGGCGCTTCTGATGGGCGGAATGTCGGCACCCTTGCCTTACCCGCACGGGTACCAGCCAATAACTCCACCGGAGTCGGTGCGGTCCGGCTCATTTGAGCAGACTCCGACATTTTTTTCGAGTTCCGCCCACTCACCTCCTGCCTCCGCACCTGCTCTCCTTCCCGGCCCGGTTATGCCTCCCGTTTTGGTTATGCCTTCGGCACTGGCCTCTCCTGCCCTGGCCCAAGCCCCCAATTGCGGTTGCCTTTGGAAATTGGTTCAGGCTCAAGAGGCCATTGACCAACAAGTTCCCCTCTGTGATCGGGCTTCCAAGGTTGTACAGGCAAATCGGGAGGTGGCTCATTCGCTCGCCTGCTTGATACGCTGTCCCTATTGCTTTGGACCGGACAGACGCAGCGCCCCTTTGATGACTGAACTTTACTCAGTGATTGGAAAGGGGGTAAAGGGATATGAGGTTGATGTGTTACCCTTCTCCTTGTTGCTGACTCCCGGGGAGAGGAGGAGCACACTGAGGACACTGAAAGTTCTCAGTATTCTAACGCGTCGATTTGGCGCGGACAGGTCTGAGGTGGGATCCCTCATAATTAAAATCACCGAGTTGGTTGGTGCCTTTCAGCGGGACCAACAACTAGCACTTGCCGGTGGGCTAGAGCTTCAGCAATGATTTCTAGCCTCCGTCTACGACCACTCATCAAAATCATTAGCAGCAGCGTCTGGTATTGGATCACCAGGTGGTTCCTCTCCCAGGAGGGAAGCAAAGAAGAAAAAGCGATTCGCGAGTCCAGTCGCCATACAGGCGAAGGTGTCTGTCGGTGTGTGTGCAAGTCTCTCAAAAACAGACACGTTGACATATACACACCAACGCTCAGATCCGTTATTGCAGTTTTTGCGCCATCATCCCTCCATTCATCCATTCATATGTCATTCGTATTTTTGGGAGGAATTACCCAATTTAACGCCAGCCTCAAAAGGGTATTACTCAAGAAAACCAGCAACTTTACTTGAGTGCCGATCAAAGCGTGTGGACCACCCCGAAAACCGCACGCACAACTTATGGTTACAAAGACAAAACAAACGAACAAACAACACATCACAGCATTGTGGGTTTCATCGACACTGGTCCCATAAGGCCGTGTGTTTGGGGTGCGAAGTTGTCAACCTTTTCCTCGTTTTGGAAGGGGAAAACGACATCCACTCGTCTGGTCAACATCAAGACGCTTTCCATCACTTCGGGCAGACCTACAACACCACCTTCGCAACTACCGTACACCAACAGAGTTCTTCGCAAATCGAGCCAAACAACAACAGAGGGATGTCTTTCACTCCCACACCTTATCAAAATCTTGCTTGGATGTCTTTTCAAGGCCTGCTTTCGCCGGCTACGAGTATCCCGTCTCCTTCACCTTTCAGGCTCTTATGCTCAACTCGAGGGAGATAAATTGGCTGCCACAGGACAAGAAATCCAAGCCGTCCTCCAGAAGGGTTGGAAAGCGCACTTCGGCGACGACCTCTCCCTGCAAAATGTCCTCAGGTTCATCTCATCCAACAAAAATCTATTCAACAAGACCGCTATGCTCGAGCGCAAGCCGGCCTTTTGTATTTGTACCATACACACAAGCGAACATTAATAGGGCTAGAGGCAGGTGGCTGGTTGGCTGGCTGGTGAGAAAGACAGCAAAAAAATGCCTTTGTCATTTATAGAAGCGAACCTTTTGATGGTTTTGGGGATACAAAAACTATGTGTTTTGAATACCCATTTCACTTTATCATGTTAGGGAGTCCGGTCACTGCCATCACTGGGGGGCATATCTTTTGTTTTTCCTTTCTATTTCTCTTCTTCTTATCTTTTACGATTACATTGGTTGAAGGCCCTGGTATTACCGACTACCTAGGTAGTATCAGGTGCTGAATTCCATTTCTATTTGTTTCGAGTTTCGAGTCGAGTCTCTTGTACTCCTGTCCTGACTTCTTTCTCTGTATTTCCCCCCTTGAAGAAGTCGTGCAAGCTCGATCTGGAAAGGAGCTTTGTAGCATGCTTCCAGTTTCATTCGCCAACCTATGTCTTGTACTCCTGTCGATTTGTCAGACAGATACACGAATGTATACTAACACACACACACACACACATACACACAACCAAATTATTAAGACATCGCATGGGGTTTAAACGAAACGTGGGGGATAGATTATATTACGTTGGCATGAGCTGCTACTATGGGTTGGAAAAGTTTCCAAGGTTGTGCAAAATATCGCACACACACATATACCACCTAAAGCAGAATGTACAAATCATGGACTAGAATGGGATATTGGGTTGGAGGCGATGAGAGCCTGAGCCCTGATAGGCATGGTTATGGTTACCATGGTGACATGATGATGAGGCAGGAAAAGTCAAGATACGGCAGGAGTCCGATAAAGGCTATCCCCGTGGCGTGGCAGAGCATCTAGCACAAATCAAGAGACCATTGTTCAAACAACCAGTGACCCATTCTTTCTCGACATTGTCTGCGCTCATCGATGCTGAGTTTCAGAGCGTGATAAAGATACCCTATATAAATCAAAAAAGCGGCAGAAACTTGGTGAAACTTGGTGGCGATATAAATCACTGCGTGGAAAAAGCGGTTCGTATAGGTTGGGAAACTCGCAGTTAAGAAAATGTCCGCATTAAGTTGAGTATACCCATGGCCTTTACCCTTGCTCTACGTACAATGTACTGGTCAAGAAAAAGAAAAGGTGCTCAATAAAGATACACCTTTCACAATGCCCAAGATCCCTATGGAAGATGCTGCTGCTGCTGCTGTACTTTTTCAGCATGTAATAATGCCTAGTTAGGTAGTCCTTTCAGTTGCAAAGCAACTAGCACTTTCTCCGACAATCCGAGAACTTTGTGTGTGGGCTTTCATGCCAAGTTATATATGTCTTCACTTGGTCATGTCTGGAACTCAATTCAGAACAACTCAGCGAGCGTGACTTTGGTGCTAACCTTGCTTGATATGGTGTAAAGTTACACAAGCACACGAGGCGCAAAGGGAAGTAGAATAAAAGAAAAAAAAAAAAGAAAAGAAAAAAAAGAAAGAGAAGGTAACTTGTGTGTGTGTGTGTGTGTGTGTAACACAACCTATATCAACCTATATCAACCCATATCAACCTATATCAAGCTATTGTCATTATCAAACGTTTTTTCTCTTTTTCTTTTTTTTTTCTTCTTCTTCTGCTATGATACTTTTTCCTGCTTCCGTAGATTTCCAACTTTGGTACGCCCTGTTTGATCATGGCTTACTCTCTTCCGAAGTTCCAGAATCCTACGTGAGAATCCGGTGGCAGCTGGAAGTCGGCAGTGGGTCGGTAAGTCTGGTAATGTGTAATCCCGAGGTCACAGTACCTTGAAGTTGGGAAACAAATCCGGTCAGCATCAGGTACATGTAAGCGCAGGGTTTAGCCGCTCCAGTTTCGTTTTTTTTTCTCTTTTTTTTTTTTTTCCCCCTTTGTGTGTTTCTTGGTGAGGGAGGTGATTTCAGCGGGAAGTTGATGCCGAGCATTGGAAGATAGTCTACTGGATGAAATGGGTATTGGTGATGCTCGTGAATCGGAAAAGGGGAAATGAGTGGTTGTTGACATGGATCTTGGCATAACCATTGTCGTCCAGGACGGGAGTCTAAAGAGGCTACTATTAATGGCTACTGGGTTAGGTTTCAGGTATTGACGATCATTACCCACGAAGTTTTTGATAAAACACGAAGCAAGAAACGTTTTAAAGAGAGTAATGTTGTGCTGGTTTGATGCGCGCAATCATCATCGATACAGTTGCCATGCACTGGACTTCCAGCCGATGAGACGGTGTCAGATTAAGCTTCAAAAAGTCCGAGCGTAGCTAGCTTCCCTTCAAGCTTAGAGAAGCCTCCTCCAATGGCAATGGACACGAAGGTAAAAGACGGGGGTGTATACCTAGGTATGTTGCCTACAAGGTAGCTGCCTGCAGGGAGGTGTATACCCCTGTATATCGAAGACCTCTTGTAAGTGGACTGTCATTCTTGACCTATCCGAGGCCAGCATTATAGGAGCTGAGGGAGAGGGTGTGAATCGGATCGTAACGGTTGCCTTTTTCGGGATTAAACCGCTGCACGTGTAAGCTGGACATGTTTAGACTGTGTGTGTGCTGCCTTATTACCCTTACAGGATGGTACACGGTACATCGAGATCGCCCAGCCCAACCAGATGCTTCCGAAAGCGAGGGAGGGTGGCCAGACAATATGTCCCTGCGTGTTGTAAAGAGAGGGGCGGGATACATATTGCGGTTCACACTCTCGGTTGCCCTCCACTGGGAAGTCTGTGTTGGACAACTCTTGATAAGGCTTGCTCTTGGCCGTACTACTTGATCGGTGCTGGTGGGTAGAGGTAAGGTGTATCCATGTCTATGGGAGGGAGGGATGAACGCGGGATGATACCGAAATCCCTAGGGTGCACCAACAGTCCAACACCTGGTCGCCGCCCGGGATATCAAACCCTTTTGCGTAGGAGACGATTCATAATTGCCGCGGAAAATCACTAACATAATGGCAGCGAAGGGATACGAGACCAAGTGGTGAAGATGCGCATGTCCGAGCTAATATGCAAATGCTCAAGGGAACCAAAATAATAAGACGGGACATCCACACATGGTCTGGGTCACTGGGAAAGCTAGGTATTCACTTCCCGCTTTAGGCGGGATTTTACCCTTCCGAGAGACATGAAGCGCCACCTTGGCCACGGTGGAGGTTCATCGTCGCACGGGAGTCTGCAGGAGGCACTGTGAACGTCCTCTTGGTTGGCACCAAAAGGCCGCTGCCTGAGCAGTGATTTGCTATTTCTGCCCTACATCTATCCACTCCGCAAGCGATATTGTAGAGGCATGGTGCTTACAGCTTCAAAAAGAGAAGACCAATCAGATGACTGGTAAATCTAAGTTCAAGATGGCAGACTTACCAGACACCGTCCTCAAGTCCAACTTCGGATACCGTCAAGCTAGAAGCCCACGCCGGTCATACATGGACTCTCGGATAGAAGTCCTTCCGATAACCTAGCGTACCCACGGTCAACGTAGCGTTCAGATCTCGCAGTTAAGGCATCGATATCGCCTCGTTTCTGTCCAGCTACTGACAGGTCACTTGTGCAGATCGGTTAGTTATCTCTCCGCAATTCGGTCCCATGATTGCGCCGTCCCCGGAGGCTGATGATTTGTGCAAGGTCAAAACTCGCTCGAGAAGGCCGGAGAAGTGCCGAAGCGTACCACAGCGTGGATGATATTGCATAAGTGATGACTGTAACTGTAGTGGCTTGCACGGTCGTGGAGCCACGGCAACGCCGCTTTTCCAGAGGCTCTTTTTGGCGGGGTTGACGATGGTTCAAGCCCCAAAGGAGCGGTGTTGGCCCTATGGTGTCTTCCACATTTATTGCAAGTTCTGATCCGAGATGATAGAGGCACGGCGGGTGCTTTTCTGAATCGCGAGGAAGCACGGCATGGGCTATTGAAGGGTAGCGTGCTGTCAATGCTGGTCTCCATGGTGCGCATGCAGACCGGAAGGCCGGGAACTTTGCACGAGGGATGGGTTACCCTCGTTGTTGAGGGAGGCTATGAATCCCAAGCCGTGAAGTTTGTGCCTGCCGTGACTTTTCTGACGTGGGGGATCGAGAAGATTGATCATGAAGCGGGTGGCCGGCTGCGGGCGCGGGTGCGTACGGGGAGCACAACAGACGACAACACACGGCCGTAACTCGGCAAACCTTGTGAAGTGTAGACTAGCGCGCCCAGTGCCAGATGCAATGATGCAGTGATGGCAGACATCAAAATCCCACGAGCCAAGAACCGTGTGATTTCCTTTCTTCTTTCACGCTCGTATTCCTTCTTCCATTATCGTGGTCGGAGTGGGCGCGGGCCACAGGCTAAAGTCGCAACGAGGCCGGCGAACCACAGTTCGGCGATTTGGATAGGGTATCGACGCATATTGCTTGATGCTTCGTCAATCTGCCGTGAGGACGAGGGAAGGAGGCCATTTGCAATCGCTCATTGCTTCAATTCTTTACGGCAACTGACGCAGTTCGGCGGCGCGAGGTTCCGGAACGAGGGAGACGGATCGCGACGGCGTGGTTGCTGGATGCTTTCCAAATATCTAGCGCATGGGATTCCATCCTATTTGATTGTCTCAGATTGTATTTTATTGGCATCGGAATGAATGCGCCAGAACTCGCTTGTCATCGATTTGTTACTGCCATTGGGCGACCGGGCGCGCAGTCTTCGGAAGGGGTTGAGGGACTCGAGGTTGCGCTGGTTGTTTAACTTGGGATTACCGATCGTGGACGGATCGGTCAATGGAATGCAGCTTGATCCAGTGCAAAAGACAGATTCTGGATGGTACTGACGTGCCTGGTGCTGATCAGAGCTGCACGATGCCGCGATACTGCAGATGTTGTTTCGGGATCGAAATCATGGATGTGAAGTGCCCGCTGAGGAGGTGCCAGAAAATGGGAGGCTAGTAAGGCGATAACACGGACGACTAAAGCAACCTAGCTCAGCGTTAGCACAGCCTTATTGAACCCTCCAATTCAGCCCAGAGATCACCAGTGAGCAAGCCAATGCAGGGTTTGTACAGCGCACCTTAACAGCGGATAAGCTTTGGAAATGTTACCGTAGTAGCGCTAGCTCTGGGCACTTGATACCACATCCCTGTCCCGCTCTTGCCATCGACCGAGCCTCGACCTTCTTTCGCACTCGTTAGTTCTTGCGAAAACATTTTGGCAACAGGATTGTTAAGGCTGATGATTACCCCCGCACACATTCATGTTGGCCTTGAAGCGGCTGAGGTATCGTGGACCCTTTGGCATATAACACACACTCGACAACAGTTTTCTAGCCGTTCAGATACCTCATAGCAAGCTACATGGACTATGGTAGATAGACCGGACATCCGTGGGGATCGCAGAGAGTATCGCTCCCGCGACTGGAGTCCATATGGACTCTTTGGTTCCCGGAATCCGATGTTACCCATATCGTCATCTTCAACATTTCCATCATGATTTGTTTCATATTGACACTGCCACCAGAATGAACTCCGCACATTCCTGTTTTGTCGGATCTTAGGCTCAAGTTGACACTCGTTCAACACACAGTCCGTCTCTCACACTCTCTTTTCCACGGCCACACCCATCTAACCACAGTTACACACGTCCACACAACATCACTGGAGCTTCTTAGGTCCTACAGTTCCTGTGTTTCAGCACGACGCATGGAAGCTTTCTTACTGTGCAATAGCCGACTGTGGTCGGTTTCCATCTGAGTACTCTTTCCGTTCAGTACAGCCTGGGTCGAACTTTGCCGCGGCAGATAATAAACACTGGAGAAACAGCCGTCACCCCAAGACCCGAACCAACATCAAGCCACAGTATTATACATTAAGGGAGCGCCTAAACAGATCAATGTGAATATCGCTTGGGTGAATACGACGGATATGTAATTATGAATCAGGAAGTTGCATCCCATGTGCGTGTCACACCCTCATTCACACCGCAGCGCTTTCCCGCTTACACCATTTAAAGCAGGAACTGAACAAGTGAACTTGCGCAAGTATGAGCGAGGAGCACTGAGCACAACATGACAGCAACCCATACCTCTAATCACTGCCCTTTGTGTACAAGTAGTACAATCAGTTCTTGCTTTCGAGATACCCATTGTCAACAGCATCCCATGAGAACTACTTTCCAATGAATTGTTACAAGTCTCGTACAGTGGTGAAACTGGTCAAGTTATCGGCCCTGGACCAGCTGTGCGGTCGGCCGGTCATGAGGTTTGGGGTTGTACGAACATCAACACCAACCACATTTCCTTCAGAGTGTGAGAATCAAACGTCCTCAAGGGCTTACTGTCCACTGCCATCGCTGGCCACACTCACTCTCGCAACACGCCGCGCCACCCCCAGTTCGAGCCGTTAGCGGCGATGGTTCTTACTTGCCTTACAACTCTCGCCGAGTGGCCGCCACCTCCACTATTCTGCACCAACGACATTACTGATCGAACTGTGGCGGCGAGCCGGTCTGACTGGCCGTACTCCCTCAACTCAGTAAGCTGATCCAGCAGGTTTCCATCCATGGTGGATCGAGGAAGATGGGTGGCTGCGACGACAGATGTGGCGCCATGGGCAACCAAGCCGTTATCTTAAGGATGTGAGTTTTGCTGGATGTCCACACCGAGTTGAGCCGCTGACGATGGCTATGTATTTGTAAAACAGTGAGGTAGAAGCGTTGGTGGGAAGAAGAATCCTCCTAGCGTCTACTCCTCCCGCGTCGTTTTCTTCCACTAGTTGCTAAGGTCGAGGCTCAGCAGTAACAAATCCTCAGCATGTGCCTTCTTACCAAGCAGTGGGGTTACTAGTCCGCACACCATCCTACATTCTCATGAGATTATCTAATAAATGGCGCCGCCTGTAAGGTACAATCTTCTAATCCTACCCACTAGTCCTGTCCACTGTACTTCTACAGTCTGACACCTTGACATATACAACTTCTGTAATCACCGGTGACATCTATCTAGGTACTAAGGGTTCGCAAGGGAGCACATACTCTGACAAGCGAGCTCTGAGCTCTCATCAACCGTTTGTTTTTGGACACCAAGCCGACACAACATGTTGATCATTGTCCTACAACATTGATCCAAGCATCACGCAAAGCAGGTTAGTAGTGACACGATGAGCACGATTGCGAGTGTACCAACCACCATGCCAAATGTCCGGCGTCCCATCACCAAGTACTACATACCTGTCTGCAACCGCGTACGAACCATACCCAAGGGTAGGACCTCTTCCAATCATCCGCGACTACAAGTATCAATCTCGGGATGGCTTCCCCACGTGCCCACCGCCCTCCTGCGGGTGGATGTAAAGTTGTCTGACCAAATGGTTGGCTCTCAGTTGACCAAGTCTACTATACCTGAGGCAACGAACCCCCCACTAGACGTCAGAGAACGGCTTGTGAGGCTTCCTTCCAACTCAGCCTCTTCCTGAAACACTGCGCCATGCTGAGTACCTGATGTCCCTCGACATGAGGAACGTCGCACGCATAGCTACAAGCTTGCGTGCCAATCCTGTAGCCAAGTGCCCGGGATTCCTTCTAGAAGAGAACACACTGGCATATGTGTGTCTGTCAGCCACTGTGTTTGTGCTTCTGTGACACCGGAAAGGGGCTATCCCGCGAAGTCTCACTACAATTTCGCCTGGCTTCTCTTGATCAGTCTGGTATTCCAAGAGCAGGTCGATCTGTTCACGCCCCTCATCTTTTCCCCTTGCTGACCATCATCATCATCATCATCACCAAGTTTTCTTTCGATGAAGTCAAAGGTAACGATAATAACAACAGCACTACCTGGTGAGAAAGCCAAGGTTACACCCTGTCTTCGTTCACCTACGTAACTATCTTTGGTCACTAGTCATGCCGTGGACTAACCTTATCGCCACATCCATTCGGGTAACTTGATCTACGGTACCCGAGATATTAGGCGGTTGTGCTAATACGGGAAGCATCCCTATCTACCCATGCCAAGGGAAGTTCTAGCTTATAGTGATTAGGGCTGAAATGCTGGCATTATTGGGGGGGTCTCGGAGTGAATTTGTAAATAACAACGCTTAGAGGGGTTGATAGCGGGAACTGGGCCGCAGTTGTCCCGCTACAACGAGGATGGTCGATACGGGATGTGTCGGATCTTATTGCTCTTTGAATTACGTTTACTTTACAAGTCGCGAGGTATTCAATGAGTGATATTTCTGATATTTACATTCATACAGTCACAAGGTATGAGAAGTGGTACATGAACGACTATTGTGGAACAACTTCAGTTGTCAATATTTCTGGTCACATACCGTCCAAAGAAGCACTTCTTGTTCATCTCCATTTGTTCCTTTACTTTGCCAGATGTCTTCTTTGGACTAATTCCGTCACCGAAGCAAAGGTACGGTCTCTAATTAACACGAAAAGATATCCTTAATTCCTTATTCTTAGCTCCTCCGCTGACGCGATACCAAGCCCCCGCTCCCGAACCCATCTCCGTCACTCTCCCGGTAGGCCGCTTGCGCCACGCCCACTTCGGCGCCTACGAGGTAAGTACCGCGCCTACGCCACTTAGCCGCCCATCCCAACCGAACTTTTTGCAAGAAAAGGTAGGATTTCGCTTCATAGGCCGGTATCTGTGATATATCTATCTACCTTAATAAGCCTATAAGTACCTAACACATGACACGAAACCACGCTACGGAGAATTGTTTTTGAGACACGCATGGCATGATATGCAGACAAGGTAGTCTAGTCAAAGCACGATAGAGACCGGTAATGGGAACAAAGTATGTTAAGAAGTGGTGGCCAGACTCGTGGGATGCAGGCAATACCCTATGCTTGGGAAGGGTCGAATACCACCTACCCTGACGTACGTCAGCTGAAAGAAAGGATGGTTTTGGGGTAGAAAGGGGGGGGGGGGGGGGGGGGGGGGGGGGAAGGAAAAAGAATAAGCGTGAAAATGATAGAGAAGAAAGAAAAAAAAGCCGAAAGAAGAAAAGAAGAAAGACTATAGAAACCCTAAAGTAAATCTTTGGGGATAAAAAAAAAAAAAAAAAAAAAAAAAAAAAAAAAAAAAAAAAAAAAAAACGACCGTGGACTGAAACCTGAGAAGCCAATCGGCCCCCGGCCCCCGGCCCCGGTCACTTCCTGCGGCCGCATGGCACTTCGGTACCTACCTGAGGTATCGACCCGGAAGGAACCTTCGTCATAGTCGCGGAAAGTGTCTTTATGTTTTCGCAGCCGGCAATCGTCAAAGATTTTCCTGGATTCATTCATAGGGTAATAGCACCTTAATCGATGCAATTTCGCCTTGTCCGCCCACATGTCAACGGCATCATCTCCTTTCTCGAATTTCAACAGTCCGTGACCAGAGTTGCAAAACGCCAGAGGGAACCCAGGACGTATCATTACAAGAACATCAACAAAAACAACAACAACAACAACGCCACCACAACGGCTCCCTTATCAACTAATGGAACTGATATCAAGGCGAAGATGCGCGCATCACAATGGATCGTTCAATCGCAAATTGGCAGTGGTAGTGTCCCGATCAATCATTCATGCATTAGTCAGTGTACCAGCGCATTGCAAATATTGCTTTCGTTGTGTGGGATCAACAGATGCGTTGCTACCCTACTATTACATAGGTAGGTAGTAGTACAGACGGCCGCTAAAGAGTTCCAAACAGACTGTCTCCTACTTGAACTTCCACTCACTGGGAAGTTGGGAAATGCTACAGAACCGTTAACGTCACTCCTTGCCATTTTGAGATGTAGGAGAATCTGACACGAATCTCAAGCATTGCAGCGTAGATCATCCCCTCGCTATGTACATACTACGCTACACACCTTTCGCAGTCAAGGCCTCTCAACTGGAACTCACATCATGACATCTGTAGTGTAATCGACAGACTAACCCAAGCTTGCGTCATTCCTTTCCTTCTTAGTACCAAAGAACAACCCCGCTTTGAGCTGTACCGGTAAATTCCAGAACCCAATCCACCATGTCTAGCCAGATCCAAATCTCACTATCCAATCAACCATGTTGGGACCTAGACTTCCGAACGTGGCGATGGCTGGGGATCAAATCAACATGGCTGAAGCTGAACAAAACATTACAAAGAGCGTAACAGGGTTGAGAGGGCTTCTTCTAATGATAATTTGCCACGACAGCGTGGGTTTAATGGCCTGGCGTGGAGAAAGAGATTGCAGCACCACCCATCAGAGTTGAAGAGCTTAACACGCCCCGGGAGTGTTGGTGAGACTAGGTACATACATACTGTCTGACTTGCTGATTGACAGACCCTCGGGGTATATTTCCTGCCGTTCCTCATTGTAACATGACGTACGGACGTCGCCCTACTTAGTGTAATCTATCTTACAGTAAGTTGATGGAAACGGAAGCTCACACAGACTAGGTAGGTGGCTTGGTGGGTACCTAGATGGGCTAGATGGCTAAACGAACATTACCTACCTCCTAGTTGTTTTGGCAAAATAGTATTAGGCCGACCTAGAAAGTGTTGAACACGCACACTTCAGTTTATTGTACAGGCAGTTGCTTTCGATTGCTGTCCAAGATTGGGAAAGTGTTCTTTATCAACAGTGCAACAGTGAGCTGATCGAATAAATCAGTACTTGTTCTTTGACCAATCGCTGACTGACAACTCGGATTCCTGCACACCTTGAAGATGCCGCCGTTACCAATGCAACGGAAATAGAGATACTAAACGGTGTAAATAAGCAGTTATGCGTGGCTTGGTTAGTTGTGTTAGCGTGTGTGGGGGAGGCTCAACCTGAAGTCAATCATTTCCCCATTTCGAAGGCTCGACCGCATCACCACATATGACTTGGCACCCGTGACTGAGAGAGATATTGGTGATGACCTCCTCTCTGGTTCCCGAAACATGCGTTTCACAGCACATCTAATGGGCCAGTCAGAGTGTATGTTGCTGTGGACTTGTTCCCAAAGTCACGGAAACTTGTGTCATCCTCAGCAAGTACCTCAACATTTGGAAGAAGACACTTTTGCTTGGAGGTTTACTAAATACGTCCTCGCCTTGTTATTGGATATGTGCCGAGGCTCACATTGAAGCTCGCTGAGGGTGTAAGCATTCTGACTAGTTCGGCGTGGCGGTCGCCGCGACGGGTCGTTCCGCTGGTTTCCCTATTCTTGATACAACTCGCTGCAACACCTGCCAAGAGTGCTGGTGTGCCCACGGACTACATGGAGTGTAGTACAGAGTAAGCAACTTTTTACGAATCAACAGTGGATGAAAGACGGATAACAAGCAACTCCCCTTCACGGAATTATTCGGATTGCGGCTGAGGTGTGCCAGCCAAGCCTGATGTACAAAGGTTGTGTATCTAGGTCGTGAGTTGTTAAGTTGAGTAGTCTTTCCTTGATGGACCAGTAAGCATATGTGCCTTATTCATCCTTATCCGAGGTCACTCATCGGACATATTCTTTGTGAAACGCCTAGCTTTGTGGTGATGGCGGTCCTTGGCAGAACACCAAATTGACCTACATAGCTTATGGTCAGAAAATCAGATGTTGAAGTGTTGTGATAACAGCCCATTGTTACAGGTGTCTAACTTACATTTCTTACACTAGACAAGAGCTTGGCTTGCATACCATAGGGCTGTGCTTGGTAAGGATCTTCACTCACCTTTATGAAGAAAAGGATTTTGTGATCGGCCATTGATGCGCAGAGGTACCCAATTTGTGGTGATTCTATCCGTGTCTGGTAGTGTGTGTCAACCATTGACATCAGCATCACCTATTTCAGAAATATTATCAGCTTAGAACTAACACGTTGGCGCAGGCGGAATATATCCAGAAAGGGAGTAGACTGCAACTTCTTGTATTACTGGTCTACGTTCTGCCAATGAATGTTGCTGTCAAGCTAGAACGTGGATAACAGAGAGCCTCATGGTCTTGAGGAAAGACACGGCATCTCGAAAAGATTCCGCGCTCGTACCTTTTGTGGCTGTCTCTTCCTTCAGACGCCAGCATTGGTGAATTCATCAGGCTTGTTCGCTACCTCCAGCGGAGGCCAATCTAACTGTTGATGGAGTCTATAGCAGTATGCAAAGATGGACGGGTGTTGTGAATGTGGCTGGCTAGAGCTGGCGTGCGACCTGGCGCCCTTTGATAGTCGGGCGATTGCATTCACCCAGCGTCATCTTATCTACCTAATATCGAGACCTCTACCGGTGACGAAGGCAGTGATCCTCGGTCCCGAAAGCAGTCCTGATGCGACCTAAATAGCGCCAAGGGCTGCAAGAAGAAGCATAAGCTGAAGATGTAGGGTTGAACGTGCCAGACTCTTGCAGCATTGGCGTTTCCGTTCAAGGACGCTTGGGGTGGGGTATGATACCCGGATTGGTCGATAAGGAGACTAGAAGGCTTCCTGTCAGCTCAAAACTCGACTTAGATATTTACCGGTGAAGTGGCGGGCTCTGCAAAGGGTATTATTGTCTTTGCACCTCACCCATGGCAGGAGCTCTGAATAGTCGGCACTCGCGCACCAAACGTTGCATCAAAGGCGGTTGAGGCTGGCTTGTATATGTCTTCCAGAGGCACAGCAAGGCACAGTTGAGACGTTCGAGTTGGAGACAATGGGGGCCTGGAGGTCTAGAAGCTTTCGGTCATGTTTCGTTTCTCGAGGGCAAGCGCAAACGTCAAGGCTGCTGGGCGAATGGTCAGAAAGAGGGCGCGTCGTACCATGGGGATTCTCCCAAATAGGTATTATGATTTTGGAGAGCCTGTTCTAAATTACTCCTCATGTAGACCATGTTGCGACATGAATGACATGGACCCGCACGATTCTCGTCGCACTTGTCGCATACTTGGTCTCTGTCGTCGGAGATGTCAAATCCATGACATCGGATAATTCGAGACCCAAGACGCCGGTACATTTGGGCTTGATGTGGTTGCAGCTGGACATGCACGTGTTTTGAGGAGTATGGGTTACGGATGGGCTCGCGTTCCGATATTGGCCTCGTCGGTCGCCGTCTTCGCTTTCTCATTGTGGGTTTGTGTAACTGTTGGTAATACAAGTTCCACGACATTGCGCACTGCAAACAGTCAGCTTCTATAGGCCAAGGGACGAATAGAGGACGATAACAGAAACACCCGTACCGTCTGGCCGAAGCTATAATGAATGGGCACCTGGTTGGCGGCATCGATGCGATGTGATGCTGTATTTGGATGTTGCGGTGTACATATCCAGTCCAGTGATGGACCACTCGGGATGCTCAGCGCTCGGGCTCCGGCCCAGGTACGAATGAACTGGTGTCACACTATTGTGTTTGAAGGTGGGAGGTGAATTCGAGTAGGGCGACGAAAAAGAGGTACGAAAGACAGCGAGCGGGTGGAAGAGAGTAAGTGGATGGGCGGGAAATGGTGATGACGGGATGGGAGGGTGAGATTCGTGGTGGGGGTTGTTGATACATCTTGGGGCGCCTGAATCATTGAAAGTCGTGCGTTTGGAGTGGACAGAATGGCGGGGTTGCAACCCAACCCATCCCACGCTAAGGCAGTAAAGTGTCGCTGAAGCAGGGTTGACTTTCGCCGAACCTCGATAGCTACCCGCTCTTGCACCATCGCCATTCAAGTTGCTGAATCCCATTATCGTACGACATCACCCCCAGGTTGCCGAGGTCTTTTTTTCCCCCCCTCCATGGGGTACGGATACCTGCCGAAGCATCTACGATCTCTCGAGGGCTTGCACTGCTCGCCACAGCCATCCACCATTGAAGACGCTCTGTTCGTTAATCCCAGGGGCAACTCATAGAGGAAGAAGAATGGGTAGGTATAGATAAAAGGATGTATCGGTTATGAAGATACATCGCTAATTACCTAGGTACGCTCCGATTACACCTTCAATACCATAACATTGACCACTGAGCTTCCGCTCCGTCCTTTGGGCCCCGCCTTCCCCGCCCCAATTCCCCTAATCTGATTCTGAAATAAGCTTTGACAAAGATCGTTTCCCTGCCATCTTCTGATTGGCTGCCCAAGGCCAAACAGTTCCTAATCAGGAAGGAACCAGGGAGCAGGGAGGGAGGGGTTAGCGCTCGAGGAATGGCATCTTTCAGCTTTGCACTATTTGCCCCTGGTGCCTTGGGTGCTTCAATATTTTACAATGGGAACTACAGTGGACAAGAAACTGAACTACTGCGCCTGGAAAGCAACTTGACATTCTTGATGCAATGGACAACCTCAAACGCGGTGGCTTTTTTCTATGCGGACGCCGTAAATGTACAATGCGGGAACAGGAAGCTGTATTTTCCAAGTCCAAAAAGAGAGTGATGATCTCTAGGTAGTATGGTTGTTGTGTGAAGAAAAAGTACAAAAATTCCAGCGCGAGTTTTGCTTTTTGACCACCCAGTGCACGGATCGTGGCTTCCACTAGGGGCGTTATGGATGTATCAACAGAAAACGAAGATAATGCGAGCGTGTTTGCGTGCCTCAATGTGTTGCTGTAAATGCAAGAATATGTAAATAGGGTATCGATGTCGACCTCCTTCCACCTAAGAGACCCTGTCCATCATCGCCGCTGTTCTTCTAGATGTAGTGGTCGTGCCAAGATCCATATCAACAACCATTCAGTCATTTCCCCTTTACCCCTTCACGAGCATCACCAATACCCCCTTCATACAGTAGACTACATATCTTCCAATACTCCACACAAAGAAAAAAGACCCGGAATTGGTGCGGGTAAAGCCTGTGCTTACATGAACCCAAAATCGTTGAGCGAATTTGTTTCCCAACCCCAAAGTCCTGTAGCATCGCCTGCAAGTGAGTGGTGGTTGTTGCCATTCACTACGACCTCGCCATAACCTGAAAACCCGTTCATGTCTGGAATTTCGTCAAGCGTCTCAAAGCCGGTTTCGATAGAGGTAGATGAGCCCGGACTCAAGTCAGGTATATTCAATGAAGGGTCATTCTGAGAACCGAGATGCGCGGGCTTCGGACCAAACGGCTGGATCGGATTACCATAACCGTCGAAACCTCCGTAGCTAGGATTGGGAAAACCGTAGAAGTTGGGGAAGCCGACTCCAGGAGCCAAATTTCCAGTCAAAGGTACTTGTGGTATGAACAAGCTCTGTGGTCCCGTTCCTTGGTAAAGACCCTGCTGGATATGTGATGCCTGTCGCTCTTGCTGGTATGCCTCGCCGTCAATCATGGTTTCAAGAGAAGCCTCCATGACTGGTTCTTGTTGGTTTTGCTCATCTCGTGTGGGTTGAGCAGGTAGAGGGACTTGGGCGGGCGGAGGAGGTTGTTGCGGCGCTGCTGAACGGCGGGCCCGGGTCTCCTGCTTGACTACTCTCCTGGACTCACGTGGGACACATGTGATACCCTTCTTTTTGCACGCCCCGCACGTCGGTTTCTGCTTATCGCACTGGCACTTGGCTTTGTGACAGGGCTGGCATGCCACGTCCGGCTTGTGCGCACCGGTTTGGGGTGGAATTGGGTCCAAGTCGTCTGAAACCGAATGGTAAATCAACATGTGTCTTCGGAGCAGATCCCTGTTGAACAGCGTCTCAGTAAAGCTACGGGCCGAGAAAAGAGGGGATAATACTCACTGACGGTTAAACGGCATAAAGCAATGGACGCATGACCAAGGCTTCGCACCAGTATCTGAACGAAGGATCAGTAAAGCCCGCGCTGATCGAGGTAACCAACGTGACTAGAGACACTCACGAGAAGCGATGTGGCGTTCTAGATGTTCTTTGCGAGTGAACTTGTTGCCGCAATGGATACAAAAGAACACGGGTTGCTTCAGTGTTTTCGGAGACATTGTAATGGATTTGTTGACGGAACGGTGTCCGATGGCGGGAGACCGATAGAAGACGGAGCGGACTGCACAATCGAGTGGGCAAAGCGTACCAGTAGTGGACTGAGCGGATAAGGACTGAAACAAGACAAAGGCAAGTGCTTAAGTTTGGGGGAAGTCCGTTTAAGTAGTGAAAAGAAAAATGAATGACGGCAGTGAGTGCTGCACTGAATTCCTGAAAGGCATGTCTAAAGCAACAATTATCTTGTAGGTTAGATAGTAGTTGTAGTCCGAGCCGACAAGGACGTAATAAGTTGCCCCTCCGAAGCACAAACTCGAGCTACCAAATAAAAATGGTGGGGGAGGGAAATATTATATGCCTACATATGCATGTAGTACCAAGCCTGCCACATGCGGCGCGCTGAGGAGCAGATACTTGGTCCAACTTGCTATTCTACTCCCGTTATTCTTCTCTTTGGTCTCCTACATGTTGGAGTCATACTCTGCAAGTGCCTGCCTGCCTTAGCTGACCTTGCCTGCTTGTATCTAGGAATAGGGTGTCCTTTTCCGAATCAGACACGCCAATGCTGATATAAGGTAGAGCACAGAGCCCTCGAGTCCAATTCGAAGTTGAAGGAACAGGGCTTGGCTATCGTTTCTGGACAGTTGCAACTGAAGATGTGCTGTGTGCTGTCAGACGAAACGTTTGTGGGGGGGTCTTGTAATGACGTCGAGAGATGAGGATATTTCTGCTTTGGGGGCGACTTCAAGCTCCCCATCAGCAAGGTTTCCTTATGCTCGACGTTCGTCAAAACAACAGCTACAGGCGAGGAGACTGGTACGTACCTTCAGGTTTCTACATGGGAAACAGAGGCATCTCAGCGGGACGCACATGTCGTCAAGAGAACACAGCCTCCCACAGCGGCCACAGGTCTACCTAGTACAAGTAGGTCTTCTCAGTATCTGGTACCTGTTGCCTGAGTATCAAAACTCACTCACTCACCTCCTGTTCACAGCAGCCGTCACTGGCAGCCCGTAGGCGGACCTGTCATGGACTGTCACACACCAAGTCCCCAGGTCATCCCAGGTGTGAGAAATCTGTCTCCTCACGTCTGATGGGATCCAAATTGGGCGATTGTTGGCTGGTATCAATTCAGAGTGATTGGAAAGGAAGTAAACACATGCATGGTTCGGCATCGAAGTTTTTGTGGAGGTGATTCACATGGGGTCGTGGTTGGGTGTGGCTTGTGGATCGGAAGGGTTCCCACCCAAATCGATCCCGTCGACCTACTTCAGTTCCCCAACTGCGCCAAGGAAGAGGTACGTCTACAGGGCTTACACTTGCTAGGTACTAGGGAGGTACCCCCAGGCTTAATGTTACACCTATACCTACCTAGTGATTAGACTACTGTGTAGATAGAACCACACCCCCCCATCCACACCCGACGCCCTGCGACCTACCTTCCCGCCCTGCCGTCTTCCACTTCCCGTGTTTAGAGGTACGTGGAGGTTTCCTTTGCTCATCTATCTCCACTACATATCTACCTTCTATTTCAGTTCCCTTCCTCTACCTAGCAGGCAAGTACTTAATAATCGCACATGGCGAGATCATCGAAATGTGAAGGGTGGTGGTGTTTAGGCGCCTGGACTCAAGCCGTAAATGTCCACCAGCTTGGTCCTTAGACTCGAAATGAGCATGGATTCTTCCAGCCCTTGAGTTAGTCGTCTCGACTCTCATTGAGGTTCGCTTTTCTTGTAGATTTAGCAACTTTTTCTGGGTGCTTGCACGTACATTGTGGACGAATTTTGGAGGTACAGTAAAGATACCCTGGTAATGCACCAAAATCCAGGGCAGACTAAGTGACCTGCAGGAATTCAACCTCTGCACCTCCTGGTTTCCCCCATTCATGTGCATGTCGTACAAATCCTGGAAGCCCGAACGGCTCCTACAAAGAATTTCAAGAGGAGGCCTTTCCGTCGGATTTGACGTTGGTCAGGCAAGATGTCATCACCAACTCATTCGGTATGTTACAAAGCGATAATTCAGCAGTAAAGTTACGATCTTTCGTTTCTGTATAATACTGCGATATGCGTTTAGACAGTTCAACCAATTCCTTGCCCAGTCAGGAACACGGCATGCGCACTGTCAAGACGGAACGGACGAACGAAACCTTCCTTCGGGTTCTTTCATCCCATTCGTCAACTGATACAATCTGTATACATTGTTCTCGGTATCGTTACTAACAAAAGGCTAAAACCACACAACGTACCAAGGTGCAGGGACCTGACAGGCCTGAATCTCGGGGGTCGCCAAGACGGGGACCACCCAACTTTCTTCGCCCGCCCGCTTAGGTCAGTCACTCACTGCTCGATACGAAACGAACCTCCCACCGGCTTAAGGTATCCTAAATGGTAGTTTGGTCATAGAGTGGTGCTGCAGAAGACTGGCAGGGTCCAGGTTCCGGGGACTGGTTTCCGGCACGGGCACGGGTACGGGCACTACGGCATCTCGTCACCCAACAAAAATCCCACGGCTGGTTTTCGTTTTATTCTCCCGTGCTCGGCCAAGTTACTGACTCGCTGCTGCAGTCGGCCAAAATCAGCTAGTATAGAGGTACCGTATTGACCCGGGGCAAAGGGTCTTAGGTTTCCCATAGACCAGGCATAATCTGTGAGTGTAATGCCCAAATGTGTGTGTTGTTGTATATGCCCATCAAAATGAGTTTGGGGGGGTTGTGTTGCCACCCTAGAGGATAGTAAATTCAACCTTTCTAGTGTTCTTTCTTTCCCTACCGATTGCTCCCAGGGCGCTGGGGGATGGAAACATCGAAAATCACCGTCTCTCATACAGTTTCTGGTGGGTATAGTGTTGCCCTATGCTTACGGATTTTGCCTGATTTCCAAGTAAACCTAAAACCCTGTAACCCGAGCCATTGCGATACGGTACCCTGCACTTTCGAGGGTTCTGTGACTCAACTTCCCTAAGACCCATCTTTCACCTCAAAAATGACTATAGCGTACTTCAAGAGCTAGCCCCAACTAATTGGAGAATATTGGATTGGGGCGTTTTCTTATAAGCGGATAATTGGAATGCTCGCAGGGCCATATCTTTCCGTTCCCTCCAGCTCCTTTCCCTCACTCGCTTCCTCCCACCACCAAAAAGGCATAGGGCCGTGCCGGACAGGAAACGAGACGTGAGTAAGCTGACCGTCGCCAAGATGTATGAGTTTTAGATTGATGTGCCCTGGCGGGGAAGCAAGGCAAACCGGCCATATGTGCCAGCCATCAAGGTGCACGAAAATTGTCCCAGTGAACTGCCTCTGCCTGAAGGGGTCAACCCGGAAGAACAGCGGAAGGTAGGTCCAATAATAACTGCACGCAATTCATACCTGAATGGTGACCGAATCAAAAAAAAAAAAAAAAAAAAAAAAAAAAAAAAAAAAAAAAAAAAAAAAAAACTTGTATAGCACGTTAGTCGTAACTCTGAAAGCCGATTATTGAACAATAACCACAGTAGATAGGCTGATACACTCTGTGGAATCAAGACCATCTCTTTCTATACGGTTACACCTTGGGGACCGATTTTTGTTAGACACTGTACAGCGGCGATCACTTTGTTGCCTTGCGGTTTTGTTATTTTCGTCGGTAATGTTAGTTGACCTGTGAAAGTGGTGAGCATCGTATCTTTGTCACTGTGCCGTTTTACTCTCTTGATGATATGCTAATCGATGTATACTACATACAGCCGCCAGGCCAGAGCCAATGGCAAGACAGAATTAGTCTCGAAGATTGCCGTTTGTGGAGATCACCGCGCGCCCGCCTTGTCATCGACTGGTGCTGAATGGCAACAACACTGCTGCCCAGGCCCCCACCTTTGGTGCAACCGATCCCGCTGGTCTGGATATCCCGATGAAGGTGACCACGTCAGTGGTTCAACGAGCAAGAGAGCTGTGATGCTGTGACTCGGCTGCTGCATCCTACGTCCACTGAAATGAGAGTCACCCACCTCGGCCATGGGCCGCTCCCATCCTCCAATACTGCCGATGAGCCAATACTTGGACAGTATTGGTCATACGAGGACGGCTGCCAGTCTACACTATCCCGGATCCTTAACGGCTGGCTGTCCTAGATGTATGTAGAATATTTGGCTGGCTGTAATAACATGGGCAGCATTGTATGCACAAAAGCAAGACGAGGCAGTCAGAAGGGCATTAGAAGAGGCAGAGCACAGCTGGATTGCATATACGTGCTGAAATCAAACAGATCCAATGTTTTGAGATGACGAAGAGGCCGAAAAATGTGTGGATTTCCTGGATTGTCCTCCATTACTCACCGTCAGTGCTATGTCCAGCAGATCGATAGGAACAGAACGGCTGTGTGATGCCAAACTTCAAGCGCCAGAGGTTTACTGCTGCTTCGACACCCGTTCCTATACTACTTGGGCAACTAGGTTTGCGGCTACGAACATGTTGTGGATGAATATTGGGCGCCAGATCGTCTTGGCCAAGACGCCTTCCCGCCTAGATGTCTTGAATTAACCCAATTTGTTGTCATGGTGGTGATGTAGGATTTCGCCCATCAGACGCTGGGTCCTTTACAATTCTGGAAGACTGAGAGCAGCGCCAAAACTCGTGTGCGGTTCTTTACGAGAAATGGCGACGTAGGGCAAAGAAGCCTTAATGTCTTGAATGAGACGACGTCCAATGATCGTGTCTTGAGTGACAGAGAGTCAATGAATGACAAGGATACGAGCACTCTATATTCTCCTTGAGATATTGCAATACTGATTGAAAGCTGGTCAAAGTAAGTACCTAATGTCAAACTATTTGGGCCATTGTTGAATTTCACTGAGATTATTGCAGGAGACACTGCAGTTCGCTCGAGTGACCGTTTGCGCCGTGCACTGGTTTTTCCTTCCCCATCTGCCAAGTCTAATCTGGAAAGAACATCAAGAATGCAAGAAACAACTGAAGTAGTGAGTGGCATGGTCCCATTCTGGACAGTGCCAACCGCATGCGCTTCCA